TGCTAGGCACCAGGGCACATTTGAAATCACAAAGCTTTCCTATTTCAGTATTTTCTTCTCTATAATTTATTGTTCTGCATCCTAGCCTGAGTTTTAAAGAAGTGCCCAGTAGCCATGGTCATTGTCATCATCATCACCATCATCATCATCATCATCCTCCTGCCCCCAGCAGTTTGCTTCTGGCTGTCTCATCTCAGGCTTCAGCCTGAGGTGCATTTAGTTTTTATGACCCAGTTGTGAACTGCGGAGGAGGAATGGTCTCCAAAAGGGAGTGTTGGGAATCATCCTCTTGGCCAGGGGCTCCACCCGGAGTTCCTGTGTGCTTGATCCAAAACTGTCTTTTGAGGTAGGGATTATGATATATCTGTCTTTCAGGAGGAGGAGCCAGGCCCAGAGAGGTGAAATCACTTGCCCAAGGGCACACAGCCTTTTAGTGGCAGGAGCAAGGGTGAGGATCCAGGTGTGCCTGACTCTGCATCTGACACTTTTGTTCTTTGTACTCTGTCACTTTGGTCCCACATTGTGACAGAGGCCATGTGCTCTGGGTTCTGACCCACTGTGTGTCCTCAGGTCACTTAACCTCTCAGCAGCCTCAATTTTCCACCTGTAAACTGGGAAGGAGGGCACCTAATTCAGAGAGTGGCTCCAAGGATGGGTCTCTTGGAGTGTCTGACATAGAAAGACTTGGACCTTCCCCAGCTGGGTGGCCTTGGACCTGTGTCTTTGCCTCTCTGAGCCTTGGTTTACTCTTCTCAGTTGGAGAGACCCACCCTGCTTTGTTGGGTAGATGCACCTGGTAGGATGTATTGAGTGCTCAGTGAATGGTTTTCTCCTCCCCAGGGCAGACTCCACCTGTGCAGAGGGGAAGCTGGACTGGAGACAGCGGGCCAGAGGGTGGAACCTCTCAGGAAGGGACACAGGGTTCCTGGCTCTGGTGGGCATCTGCCTGCCTCCAGAGCTCTCCATGAGGCTCACCCCCTGCAGCCTCCATGGGGTGTTTCTCTTCAGAATGGGTTGAGTTGGTATCCAGAGTTTTCCTCCCAGAGCTGGCTGTGGGTACAGGAGGTGGAAGGGTGGGAAGGCCCTGCAGGTTGGTTTTGGAGATGGGTGCAGGGAGCCCTGCTGGCCCTGGAGGGAGTGCTAGGTTCCATGCCTGTGAGTGGGTTGCTCCAGCCCAGCCCTGCCAGAGGACCCACCGAGCTCATGTGGGAGGGAGGCCTAGGGAAGCTCCACTGCACCAGAGGGCCACATCCGGCTGCACACCTGATCTTGTGGCCTGGGGTCTGCTTGCAGGCCTGCGACCCACTGCCTCAGAGTTCCTGGGCTCAACCCTTGCTCCCCAGCCTGCCCTTCTGTCTGAGACCCTAACTGCTCCCCAGCACCTGCTCTGCCCTGCTTCTTCTGTTGGCCCTCCACAACTTGCTTCCTTACTATTTCCTCCAGGAAGCACCCCCACGCCCAGCCCAGTCTCCAGCCTGTGGGACTCATTTTGTGTGTCATCATCTTTTGGCACATTTGTGTCCCTTAGAGGACTGGGAGTCCCTGGAGGACAGGGCCAGGTGTGATTTACTTCCTTTGGCGCCAGGGCATGAACTTGGGCAACAGTGGGTAAGGTGTCCTTGGAAGGTGGAGCTATGTAGGCAGAGGCCTGCAGGGATAGAGGCGGTAGTGAGTGGAGACCAGCATTTATTGAACACCACTGTATGCCTGCTGAATGTGCTGAGTGCTTTACAGAGACTCACTTGGTCCTTGTGGACAGTGGACTATTATTTCCATTTTAAAAAGCAGAAACTGGCCCTCCATGCAGGCACAAGAGACATAGGCAAAGCCACATGGTTGGGAGTGCAGAGTGGAGACTGTGTCTGGTTCTGTCTGCTCCAAATCCAGGCCTGGCCTCTCACTGCATCTTAGGAGTCCCCTCAGTGTGCTAAACTCAGCTCAGTTGAAAATAAAGAGAATATTTTAGATTTTTTTCCCACAAAATTGCTTGCAATCTTCAGTTGACCTTGAGATTTTGATTGCACCAGACAAACCTCAAGCATCTTGCAATTAGTTTCTTTTTCATACGCTAATTTTTTTTTTTAGAAAATTGAAGTAAAACATACAGGAAAGTGTACAAATTATGCTAGTTTTAAATGAATAACTCAGAGATATTTATATTCTAAAACACATTGGCAAACACCTCCCTCCAGATCAAGATGTTAAATAGTCCTCCTTCTGCCAAAGGTTTCCAGAGCCCCCTCCTAGGTGGTCCTCAGCACAGGTGACTCCATGCAGAGTCATCACCTGACATCTCTTACCCCGTGTTTTGTCTATTCTTGGGCTTCGTGTAGATGGTATCACACTGTGTGTGTGTGTGTGTGTGTGTGTGTGTGTGTGTGTGTGTTTTTCCATATTTGGGAATGGGCCCAGGGCCTTTGAGCTGAACTACATCCCAGCCTTGTTTTGTTTTTTATTTTGACAGAGGGTCTTACTAACTTGCTAAGTCGCCCATGTTGTGCTTGAACTTGTAATCCTCCTGCCTCAGCCTCCTAGAGTACTGTGTCACCATGTCCAGCTTGAGTTCATGTTAATGGTATTTAAGATGCATTAGGGGGATAATTAGGGTTAGATGAAGCCAGGAGGGTCATTACCTCACAATGGTATTGATAGTCTACAGGGAAAGAAGAGGAAGCCAAGCTAGCAAGCTCGCTCTGCCTCACCATGGGATGCTCTCTGCCACATTATCATGCAGCGAGAAGACCCTTACCAGGTGCCAGCACCATGCTTTGGACTTCTCAGCCTCTAAAACCATGGGCCATATAAAGCCCATTCTTTATAAATCTCCTAGCCTCAATTTTTTAAAATAGCAACAGAAAACAGATGGAGACAGTGACCTTTTGAGTCTGACTTCTTTGACACCACATGGAGCCCATGGAATTCCTGTGTGTGTTTGCTTGTGTCAGTGGCTCAGTCTTCTTCATTGTTGCATAGAACTTGATTGCTATGCTCTGAGCAGAGCACTCTTTGTGAATCTCCTCTCCTCTTGATAGATATTTGGCCATGTGTTGATGTGTTCCACTCACTGAAGTTATTTTAGTTTAGATCCAAGGAGCAGCTTTTCTCAGGTGCTGTGTATAGGCATTTGAAGAAGTTAGTTTTCTACAAGTTTATAAAACTAATTTTTGACCCTAGTCATTTTGGACCAGAAACATACATATTTGTTGATCCATGTTTTGTGTTTCCTAAGAGACATGGGGCTGTGGGGGACCAAAAGAAGCAAATGAGGTTTTGCGGATGTTTTTCCATTCTTCCCTTTGCCTTAGCTAAGTGGCGGATGATGGAGTCCACCTGTAATTTAAAATCAAATGCTCATAGCTGACAGTGGTGCCATAATAGGTGTGTTGCTGCTGTCCTCCCAGTGTCCTTTCTCTGCTACTTTGAAATCTCATAAATACCAGACAGCATGTTGGTAAGACGCCTGCCTTCCTTCCCTCTGCTGGCTCCAGCGGAGCAGCTGTGGTTGCTAGGTTGAGCTTCTGGTTGCTAGGGATTTTGTGGTCCTGTGGTGGCCCAGAAATATGATGGATCAGTGGATCATGCTTTTACTATTATTGAAATGTTTCCATAGTGAATCTCTCAATGTCACCACATGCTCTGATGTCGTCCCAATTGGTCAATGATGCTTACAGGTTTCCCAGTTAGTTAGTAGAGTGGCTTGAGTGGAAGAGACAAATGGCTTGGAATTAGAGTCAGAAAAGCCTGCTTTTAGTCTTGTATCTGATGTTGAATTTGCTGTGTGACCTTAGGCAAGTATTGTATCATCTCTGAGCATGGGACTTTATAAAATTCAAGGACCTGTCAGCTTCAACAGACCATGGCTCATCACCTAAGTTCTCTGAGCAGGTCCACTGCAAGCCAGCCTCTCACTATCTGCTAGTGGATTATTGGCAACAGAATTCCTGTTCCCGGCTCACTTCCTCTACCCTGCAGGCTTTTGGGCTGAGTTGCCTTGGCCAGATGGCATGTGCACAGGAGTTTCAAACTCATTTTAATATTCAATCAAACATAATTGAGATCATGAATCTGAAAAAATACATCAAAAACTCTACAACTCATACACATTTGATCATGTCATTTTTCTCTTTACTCCTGCTTAAAAAAATACTTTGGCAGTTTCCCACTTCTGTTCTGGGGATGGCAGTCACTTTCCATTTTGGTTACTAAGGCAGATGATGTCCTGAAATGAATCTGGGCTCACTGGCTTGATGTGAGATCCTAGTCAATTAATGATGTCTGCATGGGCCCAGGAATGGATATAGAAGCACAGATCAGTGTCAGTACTTGCCAACCATGGCTGGAGTTTAAAGTCCGTGCCCTTTAATATTGTGCCTGAGACCTTCAATCTCTGATCTGCTGGCTTCTTGCTGCCTTCCTGCCCTTTTCTGTCTGATCTGCCTCCCAAAATAACATGCTGTCTCCAAAAATCTTTGCTTATGTGGCTTCCTTTGCCTATCAGGACCTCTGTTACATTAAATTGGTCAACATTGCCTATTTATCTTTCAAATGTCAATGACAGTTTTGTCTCATCTTGTAGGATATCGAAAGCTTGTGGTTCTCACTTAGATCTGGAGTCTCCCACCTAGCCTGTTCCCACTTCATTCCTTTTGTGAATCTTTCCATTTTTACCTTGAGATGACCTCAAAGTCAAGATCTGGGTATGCTTAATCTTTGTAGCTCTGGACTAGACTTAGCACAAAGTAGTGTCTCAATAAATCTGTCCTGAATGCACATGGAAATGAATAGAAACCACCTTGTATCCCAGAGTCACACTGAAGTGATTTTTATAATTTTCCCAGCATTCTGAGTTTGGATGCCAACACTCCTTAGCTTAATCATGGATAATTTACTGTGGTAATAAACTGACTGCAAGTCCTCCAAGACTGACCCTGGCTTCAAGTCATGAATTTGCATTTTCTCTGTCATGATGGTCTCTTTTTCTTTGCTCCCTTTGCTCTCAGCCTGAAGACAAGCAGAAGGATGTGGCAGCCTTTGCCCAGCTCCAGGGTGCCATGGAGACACTGGGCATCACAGAGGGTGAGCAGCGGGCCATTTGGCGGGTGCTGGCGGCCATATACCACCTCGGTGCTGCGGGTGCCTGCAAAGGTACGTCCCTGCTGCTCGGCCCACCTGGGCGGCCAGCTGTCTCCTTTGGCAGTTGTCTGACAAGGCCTTTCTCTCAGCGAGGTGGGGACAGGGTCAGTCTGTCGCTATCCATGGCTCTGGGGCTCCTCTTTGGGAGGCTGTGAAACCAGGGATGGTGAGACAGACATGGATTGGAGTTTGCAAACAGACCTAGCCCAGCATTGTGCAAAGAATTTTCTGCAGTAATGGAGATGTTTTCTGTGTTGTCTGCAGCAGTGGCCACCAGCTATATGTGACTACAGAGCATTCAAAATGTAACCAGTTTGAACAAGAAATTGAAGTTTTAATAGCATTTAATTTTAATTATTTTGAATGTAAGTGGCCATCCATACATGGCTAGAGTTTGGGCCAAGCAGCTGTTGTGTATGTGTGAGAAGGGGGAGGCCAGCAATGAAGCTGCTGTTTCCCCATAGGCATCGGGGAGGTGTCCCCACTATGTGCCCTAAGGTTGATCATGCCCTCTTTGTTCTGCCCTGTAATTGCCTGTTTGCTGATGACCCCTCTTCAAACTCTGGCCTCCTAAATGGCTGCATTCACCCTGGTACCCTTCTCTTCCTACCCAGTCATTCACTATGCCTGTAGATATTCTCAGTAGCATCATTTCTATTCTGTCTTTATCTTTACTATTATCACTTAGACAGGGTATTTTCCTTTAACATTTTTGTGCTTGGACTATTGGAATAGGCTCCTTGTCAATACTTTTACTCCTCCTTCTCTCCATTTCTATTGTGACCACTGGGCCTGTTCTAGAACACTGAGCCATTGTGCTGTTCTCCTGTATAGATTCTTCCTGGGGTTTTCCCTCACCTGCTAAATCAAATGAAATCCCTTGACTTGGCATTCAAGGCTCCTCACCTCCCTAGCTGGTCTTTTCTGTGCTTTCTTTGGCACTGCACAAGGTTCTGGGGGAGAAAGTAGGGATCAGAAACATTGTGGCTCCTGCCTCATGGGGTACAGGGGCCTTGCATGGTAATTGTGACTTCGCCTAGCTCCTTCCAGCAGGGGCCCACTTTCTTTGGGCTCAGGATATAGAGTTGAAACTTACTTGTGGAGCGAACTTGTTTGTGAACTGAAGTCTGGTGACTCTGGTAGTGTCTGGTTTGTTCCCTAAGGGATGGCAACATCCTTGGGGAAACAACGGCCATCATTTCTGCCATTTCCACATTTGTAGGTCTTGTGTCTCCTTCCTTTGATTACCATTCATTTGAGCCACACATAGTAACCCATTGATTTGATTCTAGAAACTTCTAGAAGTCATGCTGAGTCAGGGGGAGATAGGGTTGGAATTGCACAGTTGGTCCAAGCCAAGGACAGACATGCTTGCCTGGGCAAATGTCACTTACTCTCCCAAAATTCAGCCATGAGCTGTTCTAGTGCCTTGGCTGTTACGATGTCACTGCCACTTTGCCCAGGGGGCTGTGATGTTTCTATCTCAGTTCCCAGTCACTGAGGCCCACCTGGTCTGTGGGTACCAGGGAGTAAGACTCTGGTCTCCTCTCCAACCTGGTCTCTGCTTCCTGCATCACTCTAGTCCCCCATCAGAGCCTCCACCTCTGCACCTGACTCATCCACACAGGGGTCCCCCGCCACAGCCCCTAACCCTCATCAGTCCGCTCTCTACTTTTATGCTGACTGCAAACTAGGAATAGTTTGTACATTTCCATTCTATGAAGAAATATATATATATGTTATATATATGTGTGTGTGTCAGAATAATATGTCAGGACACATGAAAATTATACAGTAGTCAAATTATAGAGCCCATAATTAAAGTTTTATTGGAGCCTGGCCATGTCCATGTCTATGGGTGCTTTTACTCAGAGATTTCATAGCCTGCAAAGTAGAATGTAATTATTAGTTGTCCCTTTACAGAAAAAGTTTGCTGACCCCTATTCTGTACCATTTCCATGGAAGGGCACAGTGCTCCAGGGTCTTTGTGCCTCTGCACCACCCACTTGTTTGATTGTGCTCTGGGAAATTCCTCTGCCCTCCTCACATCAGCCAGGTCAGGGAAAGATACCAGAAATCCAGCTCTGTTAGTAACTAATGCCGTTAAGCTCTGCCTATCTTGATTTGTACATGTACACAACGTGTGTGTATTAAAACATAAAATTGCACTCCATAAATATGTACAACTATAAAATGGCAATGAAAAAACAAAAGAGAAACCCACTTGTAACCCCTACTTGTTGTATGACCTTAAGCAAGTCAGATGTCTGTCTCTCTAGGCTCAGTTTTCTCGTACGTGAAATTTAGGAGTTGAATCAGTATCTTAGCTCATTTTCTGTTGCTATGAAAAAGCATCTGGGACTCAATGATTTATCAAGAGTAGAAGTTATTTGGCTCATGGTTCTGGAGGGTGGGAAGCTCAAGAGCATAGCGCTGGCATCCAATGAGGCATTCTTGCTTAGTCGTGTGTGGTGTAGTAGATGCGTCCCACGGTGAGACAGAGAGGGAGTATGCCGGAAAGTGTCCCCTTTCATAATATAACCTCTTCTCCAGAAGCTGTGAAGCCATGATTTCCTGAGTAGATTAGTCCATAGATGAGGGCAGAAGCCTCCCGGTCCATTTGGCTCCCAAAGGCTGACCTCTCAACAATGCTGTGTTAGGCCCTTGATTTCCAAAGCACGACCTTTTGGGGGACACATTCAAACCACAGGAACTGCATGAGAGGGTGGTTTTGTTTTGTGGTACTGTGGATTCAATCCAGGGGCTTTGCACTGAGCTACATCCCCAGCCCTTTATTTTGTGTTTGAGACATAGTCTTATAAGTTGCCCAGGTTGGGCTAGAACTTGTGATTCTCCTGCCTCAGCCTCTAATAGTGCTGGGATTACAGGTGAGTGTCACTATGCCCAGCTTGCAATAGAAGTTTTTAACTGGGCCCAGGTCCCAACACCCCCACCCCCAAGCAAGGGTTTTCTGTATGTATTTCAGGGTGTGTTTGTTTCTCAAACTGCTGTAATAAATTACCACAACCTTGATGGCTAAGAACAACAGCTTTTCACAGCTCTGGGGGGCAGAAGCCTGAAGTCAAGGTGTGAGCAGGGCCGCACTCCCTCAGAAGCTGTAGGGGAGAATCTATCCTTGCCTTTTCCAGTTTCTGCTGGGTGGCTCTGGTCATTATTTGCCCTGTGGCCACATCACCCTAGTCTCTGCTTCTGGCTTCTTGTGGTCTTTTCCTCTGTGTTGCACCACCTTGTACCTCTTCTAAGCATCCTTACTTCTGGGTTTGGGGCTCACTTGGGTAACCCTGCAAAGACGCTTTTTCTCAGTCATATTCATGAGCAGCAGGGGTGAGGATGTGGACATTACTTGTGTGGGCCACTGCCGAACTCACCACGGGGAGTCAGGATAGATGCTGAAATGGGAGGATGTGTGTTGTTCTGTAGAGAGATGGAATCTGTAGCTTTCACCAAATGGATACACTTGGCCTTAGACGTTCAGGAACTACTGGAACCCGTGGAATCAGGAGGCTATTCCAGATACAGCTACCTGGAGTGAGATTTCCCTTTTGATGTCATTGTAGCACTTTAAAACTAGAAAGGACCTCAGAGAGAAGCATCACATACTACTTAAGATATAATGGTAGCCATAGTAACCACACCAGGAGGAACCAACATTTACTTAGCACCGATTGTACACCTGGCCATGTTCCAGGCATTTTATATATATTCACTCATGAAATCTGTCCAGCAAAGCCAACAGGTGGGTGTTATTGTTACTCCACTTTATAGAAAAGAAAACAGGGGTGCAGAGAGGTTAGATGACTTGTTCAAGGTTGCACAGCAAGGAAGTGGCAAAGCTGGGATCAGAACCTCATCCATCTAGCTCCAGAATCTGTGCTCCTAACAGCTTCACAGGCAGTAGAGAGGAGCCATCTGGGTTTTCCCAGAGTACGTCTCAGCACAGGCCCCTTTCCCCAGGCCCAGAAATGAGACTCCCTTCATCCTGAGCGTGTGGACTGGCCAGACTAGAGGGATTCCTGCAAACCTTCCCCACTCTGGGGTTACTGATTTCTACTGGGAGGAAGGAAAGGCAGGAGCTTGTCTTCCAAATTCATAAAGGACTATGAATATACTAGTATCTGATTGGTGCATGTGACCATTTTCTTTGCCTTGATAGGATGGGCTCTTTGACTGACAACACTGCCCAAACCACACTTGTCAGGAAAGGCTGTTGTTCCCAGAAGGCTCAGGCTGCCATATTGGTCTGTTCTCAGTGGGTGTTTACTGAGGAGGCAGGGTTCTTATTTTTGGCTTGGGTGGAGTATGGGGACCACTCTGATTTTCTTGGATTGTGTCAGCAATAGAGAGTCACTTCGAATAGGCTAAACTGTGAGAAACTGGGGCAATTATTTGTTTCTTGCATCATGCCATTGATCCCAAGCTAAGGACTTCAGATATCCTTGTGAGCATTTTCACAAGAGCCACCCTAATCACTGAGATGAATCAGCATTGATTTTGTGCCTAGTTCTGTGCTGGACAGAAGCTGGAAAAGAAGAGGTGGTGAGGATACTGTCCCTTCTTGAGAGTTTGCCATTTTGGGAGAGATGAGATTTCTGAACTTGAAATCACCAGCTGTCTGTGTTCACCGGTGACAGTTGAGGCTGTGCTGGTGTATAGCACAGAGCAGTCAGGCATGGAAGTTCCTAATGGGTCCTGGACATCCTGGCTTGGGAATGTGTGGAAGGAAGCAAACCCACTTAGCAGATGGGACGACTGAGGCCAAAAGGCATTGGTGCCTGAACTGCGGGGCATAGGCTCCCAGATCTGGGTTCAAACTAAACTTCACTGAGCTTCTGTATCCTCTTCCTGTGGGTTAAAAGGAGGGGTGATGTGAGCACTGAGTGGACTAAGGACAAGGAAAGGGATTTAGGCTGTGCTCTCCAGAAGCAGGCTCCAGAAAAAGATTTTGGGATATGTAGTTTATTTGGGAGAGGACTCCAGTGGACCCTGGAAGA